AAGGCTCACCCCATATTACATGGGACTCATAACATAAATAGTGAAAAGTGGGTGTTACATTGTACAGTGGCATTTAGTGCCGTAATGTGCACCTCTGCAAACCCCTTCGGGGATAAAAGGCGTGATCTTATGTTATGTTATGTTATGTTAAAACAAGCTAATAAGAGGTACAGGTGCAACATACTGCGCGGTGTTGGTGGACATGCCCAATCCGAATGGGTCACCAACTTAGCATGAAGCTGGGCACGATAAGCACCCAACACTGATTTTCAGTTGGCACCCCTGCAGTGACGCACGGACGAGAGCAACACATACTTGTAATCCGCATATGCCAATACTTCTATCGGACAGTCTATAAACGTACTGTCACACATGCTTGAAAATAGCATGCTAAAAAGTATTCTATTGAGCATGCTCAAAAATGTTCAAAAATCGAACTGTTAGGTTGGACCTCCGTGGAGACATAATTTTCATACCCTGTCATCATCCCTATTATCATTCAGTTAAACCATCAGAAACATTAATAAGGCATTGTGAAATAAACCTTATGAGTTATATACGTAAAGTTGTAACTTGCTAATTCTACAAGCATTATTGATTCTCCAAATAACAAAATAATAAACAATAATTATTATTTCAATCATAAAAATTTATTAGTTTCAATTAATCGTTAAATAAATTGTTAATTAAAATAATTTTGTATTGCCGTTCCGTTAATATGTATAGCGTTAATTATTTTGATTTAATTATTCAATTTTGCTATTTAGCAATGGATACTTCAATTATTAAACGTAAAATGTTAGACTGACTGCCTCGTTAGCCGAGTGGTCGCAAGTGCGACTGCCAGAATCGGGATCAGGTGCTGAGGGTGGTCAGTTGTGGTTTTAGTGAGTTAAAAATCACGCGACATCTTAAAAATAGCATGACAAACGGTGAAGGAAAACATCGTGAGGAAACCTGGGCTTTATAATTTCTAATAATTATAAGTCTGTAATCGCCAACCCGCATTGAGCAAGCGTAGTGATTAATGCTCAAACCTTCTCCGTGTGAGAAGAGGCTTTGCTCAGCAGTGTGCATTTATAGGCTGTTGATGATGATGCTGACGCGACATCAATAAAAAAAGAAAGGTTTTGCCTCAAAATTGGCATAGCTTTTTTAAATTCGATCAAGGCCTCAAATCCCTGTAAGTATATACTTGTTCTGAACCAGAAATTAAAATCATCAATCTTCAATATCGTTAATAGGCTCACCCCCATCATAAGAGACTGTTAACAAAAGTGGTGAAAACCGAAGCCCTCATTAACCTCCCCAATCTCCCCAACCCTGAACCCCCCACAATCCTTATCCCCAAAAGGCCGGTAACGCACTTGTAACGCACTGGTGTTCCAGGTGTCCATGGGCGACGCCGATTGCTTACCATCAGGTGATCCATCGTGTTTATGTACCGGTTTATCCCATAAAAACTAAATTAACATACATTGTACTGTATACAAGCACTTCTGCCAACCTTTACAAAGATTTTAAACCGTAAAATTATATTAAGTCTCTTCAATAATCCACAGTTTCAAAAGATAAGACTTGGAAAAATTCGTCGAAAATTACCGAAAATTGTCGACCGAAAATACGGAGACAATTTTTGACATTTATGTTAATCAATTTCGAACGTTAAACTTTCATAAATCTTTTTTAATTACCGCTCGTCTCAAGTTAGATTGCTTTCCAAGATTATTAATCAAAGTTTCGTAGGCGAAATTTTATATTTTCTATAACTAATTTTCGGTTGAAAACTTGAAATTGTCGCTTCAAATGCAGGTTTCAGAATCAAAGTTCGTCTCTTTCGAGCCGTCAATACCTATTATTTTTTGTTACAGATTATTTGTTTTTAATTTTAACCCTTTGAGTACCGTCATTATAGACACACAATTAAAGAACAATATGTTGCGGTCACCGGTGTCGTCGCGGTGTTTGACAGTTTAAACATGTCGCCTCTCTGATGCAGCGGGTGCGGGGCAGCGCCAACAGTCTTTTAATGACTGTGGCGGATGGGAGTGATGGCCTTATGTTAAAACACTGGACGAAGACGCAAGTATTGCCTACAAACCGTGCCCAGATGATATGTAATTAGATACTCAAACGCTACTCAATAAAGTTGCGCTTAAGTATAGTTCTGTCACTACAACTTCTTAGTAAAATAACAGAGATGGCACGATATTTAAGTGCTACTTAAAATTGAGTGGGCTTTCAGTATTCGGGCGTTAGTTGCGTAATTTGTTGTTCATTGTTTCATTTGCTTACCGATATCTACTGGTTTAATACCCATGTAATACCTTACTTTATCCTACACTTACTTTAGTCACATTCCAAAGTCCGAGTTATCACTGAAGTTTGTAGTGGCATTTTTGTCAGTAACAAGAGGGACTTGCCTCACCCAGGCGGGAGAAATCATTGGATGATTTTACTCCCTTAAAAAACAAAAGCCCAATCTAACACTACCTTGACCTAAAATCGAACTGTAAACCACTCGCTCATAGAATAAGTCTCATTACCTACTGAAACTCATCATAATCTGAAAGTTAAACCATTTATGACTTACGAATTTGCTTACTCGTGTAAGACAGAGACAGCTACATCATGCATCTCCCTCACATTCCTGCTTTGTGTTTGTTCCGTAAACAATTTTATTACGGAGTCGACGAAAACATTTATTTCTTTTAGTTTATGTATTACTCTTCCTGTTTGACTTTTGTGGGGCCATGAAGTAACTGTTCTAATACTTTGAAGTCAATGCTCATACTGCCGTACTTAGTACCGTACGAAGTTTCTTGCTCGTTCTTCTCCATTCGAATCTACATTTTGGAATGAGCACCTAGCTTCACCTAATTTCACTGACGGACTGACTGACAAACTATTATTTATTTTGTATTTGTTTACGTTTCAAAAATACCAAACTAAATGAGACGGTTTAATTGAAATAAATGCTTTGACTTTGAGTTTACTCGTAGTCTTTTTTTATTGTAAAACGTTGTCCCACAGTAGGATTTTATCCTGTGTCGTGGGTGCGTTTACAAACATACAAGTTCACATACACATGACACCCAGACCCGAAACAACAATCTGTGGATCACACAAAGAGATGTTCCGTGCGGGAACCGAACTAGCGACACGCCGTCGCGCAGCCTAGTGGCCGTGGTTCGTAACTAGTAGACCTTTTCTCAGTATATTCATGTGAGCAACCCGCGATTTTATTTAATTCAATTATTCACGTGAATTTTTGATAACACTAAAATTTTCTGAAATGCTCCCAGACGATGATAGAATAAGCATTTAAACTGTCAAACACCAAGCGGTCACCGGTGACCGCGACCTATTGTTCTTTAATTGTGTCTATAAAACCGGTACTCGACGAGTTAATCACCATACTTCTCAATTCAAATTAACGACTTCAAACTGACACCTGAGTTTTAAATTTATAAGTGTAGAAATCAGAAAATTGAACCCTAGTTTAATGACTAAATAGTATATCTATGGTAGAACCTTGTCGCGGAGAACCTAACGGGTAACCGGGGCTCCGTCTCGACGTGCAGGAGAAGGAACGGGGTGGTTTTTAGTCAGTAAGGGTCTGACACTCCCTTCCGCCTCACCCAGGCGGGAGCAGTCATTCGATAATTTTCCCCCCTTAAAAAAAATTGTAGAACCTTAGTTCATAGATACTTACCTCTATGCTATTGTCTATGATTCCGGTTCCGGGTCTTAAAGTGTTATTGTTTTATGTATTGGTCAGAATAAAACTATATATCTAAAGTTAAAACTGTTTATCCTCATTAACCCCTCCAGCGTCCTTATGAGCACCCGGTGGATCATAAGAAAAAATGCTCCAAATGTCACGTGTGCACCCGTTGGATCTAAGGAACGCGGTCGCTCGACGGGTTAAAATTAACAATAAACCTAGGTTTCATTGACCTTTAAATCTTAACTCGTCGAGTACCGGTTTTATAGACACAATTAAAGAACAATAGGTCGCGGTCACCGGTGACCGCTTGGTGTTTGACAGATTAAAATCACATCAACGATTGACACCAACCATTTAACATTTTAATACTAGACATTTTACGACAGACTTCAAATTCAAATCCTAAGTAAGAATCTACTAAACTTTATTGTACCATACCCTCTCAGTATAAAGCTCTTATCGCCAACTTTGCAGCCCCAAGCATCGCCTCCTTGCGCCATTAATCTTGATGTAATTTAACAAAATTGATGATGCCCCACTTCTATTTAGTTTTAAATTGAGTGTCTTGGTGATCTCATGCAGATCCACAGATAATAGGGATGATGAGTCTTGATGATTATAAATAACTTATGCCCGTGGCTTCGCCCGCGTTCCCGCATAAAAATTTTAAAAATTTTTATGCGGGAACTTTCTGTTTCAAATTTTATTATAATATTTATTTTATTGGAATTTTTCTGTTTCAAATTTTAACCCGATCACTTCAGACGTTTTGCGGTAAAGGAGTAACAAACAAACATACAAATTCTCGCAATTAAAATACCACCGGTGACTGCTCTCCACTAATTAACATTATAGACCTTATTTCCAATGCTTAAAGACTACTTTTGTATGAACATATTTAGGGGATGATATTTCAACAGGTTAATACGAAATGACATTTTTTATAGTCTTAAATTGTAAGTAGAATTATTTACTGCATCTAAAGAAATTTGGTCTTGTGATAGTCGAAAACTTTTCTTTAATTCGTGTAACTCGACTCGTTTTAAACCACAGCAAGCGCCCATAGATATGAACATTACCTACAGGCTACGTGACATCAGAGTAAGAGTTGCTCAGTACGCTGAAATCTAGTCTCTCCTAAAATACCTACTCTAACTTAACCCCCTATTCCTTTGAAGGATAAAAAGTACTTTTTTTAAGTTGGACCCACACTAAGATCATGCATGTTGTATAAAAAAAAATAATACTAATTATATTAATTTGTCCACAGAAACGAGTTTCCAGAATCGTTCGGAGTCTGATGACAGTGACAGTACATCAAAAGCTACAGTCACTGCGGTACCAAGACGTAAGTAAATCCTAAACTTTATACGTGACATTTAACAAGAGAGTCATTTGGCAAATTCAAAAAGGATTTTTTAAAATATCGAAAACATTAATCTCATTATCAGCCTAAATTGTTCTTTGTAATGGGATACCTAGATACGCATCACCTGACGATAAGCAATCAGCGCCTCCCATGAAGGAAGACTAACGGACTTCAGTCCAGTTTTCCATGAGTCTGCGGTTTCACTCCTTTCGAGCCGAGTCACTCACGTCGAATCATGGCTCTCCCACATTCATACAACATTCATACTATCTACCTCTTCAAGATAAACCATCTCATATGATTAAACCTAATTATATCCTAATTACAAGCTATGTACATTGCACATGTCTAAATAACCTACCATACAATGTAACAAATCATTTAGCCATTAATTACAAACAGCATCTACCTAATTAGATGAACAGTGATTTTACATTCGTGTGGAATTTAATTACTGTATTCAAAGTCTATTATTGTCAACCATTAATCAACCATCTGTAATATTTAGACGAGATTGTGTGACGAAGACAGAATAGAATACATTTTACTAATATGAATACCACCCCTATTCCCGTGGGCGTAATAAGAGTCGAATAAGTGAATCCTTTAAGTGAGAGAGTCTTGCTTCGGCACGAATGGGCCGGTTCGACCGGAGTGATACCACGGCTTCACAGAAAACCGACGTGAAGCAACGCTTACGTTGTGTATCGTCGTGTGAGTGAGGTTGCCGGAGGCACAATTACCCTGGGCTACTTAATAGCTGGGCGCAAAGATCGCGGGCAGAAGCCGTTATTAGTGATCTAATCTTTTATTTGGGTTATCCGGTAACCGAGCAGACGGATCACCTGATGGTAAGCAATTGGAGTCACCTTTGGACATTCGAAACACCAGAGGCGTTACAAGTGCATTACCGGCTTTTTGTGGATTAGGAATTTGAAGATGGTTGGGAATTCAGGGATTGGGGAGATTGGGAAGGGGGGTAAATGGGTCTGCCTGTTAAACGTACAGATTCTGGCAAACCCTCTTCATGTTACACTTATAATTGCCTCTGCTGGGCGCAAAGAACTTTCGCTATGGGAACTCTTATCTTTCAAGAATAATTTAATAAAACATTTCCTATGGTTAATTTTAATTTAAAAAAAAACTCAGTATAATAACATTATCTTTTTGTTACAGGTCACTGTCGAACGCCACATCACAGATAACAACAAAAATAGGCATTAAATTGGAACCTAATTTATATCAAGCATATGTTTAGGTAATAGTAAATTTTTACTTTAGGCATATCAGCTATAGTATCCAAAATAATTAATTGTAATTCTGAGATATACTGTAAAGGTAAAATTATAACTATTCTGCGACATACTAAATTGATTGGAGTACACGAAGTTGATCACCGCGCTACCTGCTCGGTATTATAGTGAAAGTTGGTTAAGTGGGACCTGGATAAGTGAGAAACCTCCATAACTGGAACTGATGCGAAGGTCCCGACACTTTGGCACTGAATGACCTCTGTTAGTGGGACGAGGTAAACTCTATATCTGGGATTTGTTCTTTCAATTTATCATCATATAACTATGATGATAAATTGAAAGAACAGAAAAGTTATAGAGGTAACCCTCTATAACTGAGACAGCGAGTAAATTTTATATGTATAAACCGCGAAGTGGAAACTATAGTTTTTTGTTCTTCTCCTCTTATAATATCTTCTGATTCACTTCGTTGCGGGAACCAAGACAGTTACTCATGTCCCTGGGACGCGCCGGACTTCAATGTTCCGGTGTTTTTATGGTTGTATCTACTGTACATCCTGGCTTACAGGAGTTGCAGCGGTTTTGAGAGGTTGTGGCGGGCTTGTCCAATAAAAAAAAATGCATAAACCTCTGTAACTGAGATAACATTGTGTGTTTACTCATTCTTATTCTACCCACAGATTCCATACATAATTCCAAGTCCACCTCTATTAATGGAACCCTCTGTAAATGAGACAGATATTTATTTATACCTGTATATCTGAGACACTGGGTAAGTGGAATACCTCTATAAGTGAAACGGCATTGCAGGTCCCTTGATGTCTCACTTAACCAGGTTTCACTGTATAAGCTTCGGCTCTAGCTTGAAACTGGTCGAGCGTTCCCGAATACTTTCGGGAGTGAGTCGTGTATTCTAATTAATGAGAATAAGGTAATGAATTTTTTGGTTTCAATCTTAACCAAAATAGCTAATTTCATTGTGATGTCCATGGCATTTTTGGTACATGTTAGTGTCTGTTTTTTTTATGTAATAATTCTAATTTTCAGTAGTTACAATGCATAATTAAAAAACTGTATGTAATTATTCTGTTATTTATTTATTCTTAGGTATATTGGTGTAAAATAAACATAATATTTAGAAGTTTTAAAAAGGTCTAGAAGACAATATCAATCTGTTATCATAAGATGACCAAACGACGAATATTCGAACACGTTAATCTGTTACGCCATAATGAACCATACAAACGAAGTCTTAAGACTTAATTTTATTATTTCAACGTGAGATAAGAAACATTCCTGTAGAATTTTAGTGTCTAACTGTATTTTTATCTGTTTTTCCTAAGAATTCGTAACAAGAAATAAACATCGATAGTCAAAATATTTTTCATATCAACGGCACATTACCTTAAACAAAATATTATGGTTTAAGAAGTACCGACTTTGTATAATTCAAATTCAACATAACATCACGCCTTTTATCCCGAAGGGGTAGGCAGAGGTGTACTTAATGCCACTGTATAATGTAACACCAACTTTTCTCTATTTATGTTATGAGTCCCATGTAATAGGGGGTGAGCCTACTGTGAGCCTAATTCAAGTTCAACTACGTAATAATATAATTCAGGTATCATTAAAATAAAATGTATTTAATTGTATTATCTATAGTTTACAAAAGCATATTTTATCTTTGTACAAGTTTTCATTTGGAAATACATTTTAATTTTTAAATATCTTACAATTGGGGACTTGCCTTCATCAAAAATAAATTATTTCGATTGTTCAATACAATAAAATATTAAAATATCAAAATAATATCACACTTTCATTAATTGATTTTATGGCCAACTTAATTTTAGTATATTTCCAGCAAATAAAAAAAAAATAAGTATGTTGTTTGACGCTAAAAAAACGTGACTTCACAGCACACACTCTCGTACAAAATTCATAGAAAACTCTCGTTTTTGACAGTTCGAAAAAAGTATTGAATTTGTCTAGTTGACAAGTACCGAATTTGAATAACGTGTTTTTATAAAACGATATTTTCACTGCCGCTTCTTATCAAGGGAATTAATGACTTGTGAACAAAAAAAAATGTATGAATAAGAACAAAAAGTATTCGTCTCAAAGTATCTTTATTAAAAGACTGATGTTTTAAAGTATAAATTAAGTTTTGAAAGTTTGTGTCAAAAAGTGAACTTTTAATGAATAAATAAAATAAGACTATATACGTGTATCGGTGATTTACATGTTTTATTAGGGGAAAATCATCTAATGACTTCTCCCGCCTCGGATGGCGAGAGGGAGTGTCCAACTCATACCGACTAAAAACCACACCGTTCCTATTCCTGCACTTTGAGCCGGAGCCCCGGCAACCCATTAGATCTTCCGCGGCTCCGTATCAGACCATCACCAATGGGGTCCAATAGGGCTGATGCCGATTACCGGGGCTACGGCTCGAAGTGTAGGAGTAGGAATAGGGTGGTTTTTAGTCAGTAAGAGTCTGACACTCCCGCCCGCCTCACTCAGGTGGGAGAAGTAATTCAGTGATTTTCCCCCTTACAAAATAGGTTTCTAATTTATCCATTACTTAAATACAAGGATGAATTCCTTGGTATAATTCTCACACTACAAACAACTTTATTACTAATTAATTACCTAAATATGTAATCACCGAAACACGTCAGTCAGTAGTTCGTAACTGCCATATACGAGTATAATAATATTAATTCTAATAGAATTAGTAGGGAATATCTTCGAGTAACTCAATGTAAATAAGTTTCGCAGTACATGCCTAAGTACAGTCAACAATGTTATTTGGTTTACAGGCGAGAAAATAATGGTTGATCAGTATTGAGATAGAAACCGTACCTATTTCTTTTTTTTAAGTAGGATAGATGACTCTTTTTTATTTGAAGGTCCGTCTGATATTGTTTTAAAACATTAGACACGTATTTTGTATTTTTTTACGGAAACAATTATTTTCGATGATATATTGATTTAAAATATCGCATGACGTCACTTTTACGTACCTACGTTTTATGGCGTCGCTAGCTCCCACTCCTGAACTTTGATTCGTATTATCTAAGTATTGTTTTCTTATACGACAATATTTCAATGCAATAAAATTTCAATAATTATTCAATGTCAAAACTATACAATCCCTATCGTAGCTGTTAAAATAGCATTCAGAGTATGGAACATAAAGCCAAACTCAACACCATTTAGTTCATTAAATATCCACGCAATACGGATGCAATGGGCGCTAGTGTTGCAACTCAAGAGTACAAAATTTCACAATACCAATGTCGATCGATCGGAATTGGATTAAAGAGTAAGCCCTGGTCTTCTGGAGCTTAATTCCCCACCAATGTTTACTGCGTCTATTCTGTATCAAGCCTTATTTACTTGCCTGCACACTAAATAAATTGATCGAGTGTACTTTGGAAGTATAGTTCAGTAAATTGTATGTGGTTTACAATAATTTTTATGTTCATTCTAGTCATTGAAATGTGAAATAAATGTTTGAAAGATCTTTTTGGTGTGTTTTATTTGCAGTTTTGTAGTTTAGATTTTTAAGATCAGCGCTGAGAGTGAAAAATTCTGTCATGACATAGGCAGACGTGCACATTATACCACTATACAATCTAACACCCACTTTTCACTATATATGTTATGAGTCCCATGTAATAGGGGGTGAGCCTATTGCCATATACCGGGCGCAATTCCAGACTCCGTGCTACTACTGAGAATTTTTTAAAAACCCAGTAATACTTTGCCCGACCTTGGAATCGAACCCGAGACCCCTTGCCCGGCAATCGCACTTGCGACTACTCGCCCAACGAGGCAGTCTGCATTCTGCAAATTCTGCCATGTTTTGTTAGAAATTGGTGTCAATATAAACAAATCAGAGAATTCGATTTAGAACCTCGAGTCGCTAAAAATCTTTTTTGAACATTTATTACGATATAGTAGAGATAAAGGACATTGGAAAAAGGCGGTCGTAGTGTCGCTTAGAAGTGATTGAAGCAACAAAATGTTAGTGGGTTATTTATGTGTGCTTTTTTTTCTTCTTTGGCAACAGTCTCCAAAACGGTGTTGTCGACTATAAATGTGTGCTCGTGTATAATGGGTTACCACGTTACCAGACTTAGAAAATGACAGATGTTCTTCGTATTTTTTTTATATTTGATGGCCCGAAGTATGACCACTATCTCGCCTGATAGTAAGCGATGATGCAAGAGACTGTGTTTTTTTATGGGTAAAAGACCTGACGGATCACCTGATGGTAAGCAATTGTTGTCGCTCATGGACCCCTGGAACACCAGCGGCGTTACAAGTGCGTTACCGGCCTTTTGGGGATTAGGAATCTGAGGATTATTAGGGATTGGGGAAGGTGGGGCCTCCGGTAACCTCACTTACACGACGATACACAACGCAAGCGGTGTTTCACGTCCGCACGTCGTTTTACCGTAAGGCCGTAGTATCACTCCGGTCGAGCCAGCCCATTCGTGCCGAAACATGAGTCCTCCTACACTTATCCACCTTTATTTGAACGTCCTTGAGAGATTCTAATAATTTGGTGATGTTCAGCCCCCACATTTTGAAAACCGTTTTCTAATATCGGTCTAAGTTAACCAAATCGGCTCAACCGATTTGTATATTTTTTACTTACATTTATCGCTTACATAAAATCTTGTTTTTTTAACCTACTAAATAAAATATTTTCAGTTCAAGTCTTGCCTCTTTTCGTCTTACACAATTACATAACAATAATATTAAGTTCCTCAGGCATTTTACTGAGATTAGAAAAATAATAAGAACTAAGACTTTATGTATTATGAAAACTCGTCACGTTTTTACTTTTTAAATTAACATTTCAGCAGTCCCACTACTAAGTAGGATTAATCACGAAATAAAATTGAGTGTAGATGATTGCAAGTTTGTAATGTTTG